TCAGAGAGCGGCATTCGTGATAGAACGCTGGTAGATATATACTAAAACTCAATAGAAACACGGAGAACATGTTTTCTATTTCGTTTAGAAAATTCCGCGATGAAAAAAAGAAAACAACTCGTTTACTTTGAACATCAAAAATTAAATTCCTAAGCTACAAAATAACCCTAAATTGCCTCACATACATGCTAGATTGCATCTAGAGAAAGGAAGAATCTTGTACGGTTTAGTTTAAAAAAAAACATGTAATTGAATTGTATTTACAAATTTTGAACACACAAAGTGATTCTCTTTTCAAAATCTCAGGCTCTGATTTATTCTTAAGATATTCTTAAAATTTTGCCAATTTCAGCCTCGATATTCTTATAAAACACATTCTTATAACACCTGTCACAAGTAAGTAATATTTACCTGCTCATCTCTTCAACATCCTCACTTTGGTCAGCTTTAGAAGTACTCCTTTTCGATGCAGACTTATTATTCCTGACCTGCTGGCGTCCAGGCAAACCTCTAGCAAAGAAAAGCAGAATTCTGTTAAAATACCAAAAAGTTTAAGAAAATACACACCGCATTTTTTTTCTACCAAAAACAAATTATTGACTAATACTGTCTGGCACTTCTTTAGTTTCCATTCAGTGACTTATGAAGTGAACAGAATAATTATTGCCTTCCCCTGAACAAGATGATACTACGATTATCAGCTTAGTAATTGGTGAAGAAGTTTTGGCCTTACAATTACGGTGTTGCCACGGGCAACTTTCCTTGTTTCCAAGGGTAACAATATCGCCGCCTACAATTTTGCGCACTTGGCTGCTAATGATGTCAAAGGCCGACAAGTTGCCACTGGAAACGGAGCCAGTTGCCCGTGACAACAACAGAACTTGAACGTTAAACCCTGGTCAGCAAACTTTCGTCGCACCTTACTCAACTGATAATCATGAGTAATTTTCCTTTCACATCTTTTGTTGAACCAAGATATTGCGAGTAGTAATAATATCATATAACAATCATTCCACAATCTCGCATTGGATATGAGTTGGCTATAACCATTTCACATCCAACAAGCGCGAGTGGAATAATTGTTTTATCATTCTCGTCCCCAGAGGCAGCGCTCCTTTTGGTCAGCACCAAGAATCGCGACCTCTGGGCTGCTCCAACACCGGAAGTCCGCGATTCACGGACTCTCTGTCAAATCTGACAAATCAGATTGGCTGAGAATAGTAAACGAAAACTCTGCGCATGCTCAGGAAATCGGTCACAGTTCGCGATTCTCGTTGCCGACCAAAAGGAGCGCGGCCTCTGGGGGCGAGAATGTTGTTTTATTAGAAAACTCCCCCGAAATATAGATAACTAAAATTAAAAATAAATATATATATAAGTATGCACCAAAAAAGTACGCTTCCGATGACCATATTTGAAGAGTATGGTCTAATGACTCATACACCATGCTCGCTTAGCCAATGAAAAGTCTTAACCTACCTTATCCAATGATCCAGTTTTTGGCAATAATTTATATTCTGGAACAGAGAGAGTCACTCTGATAGAAAGACGTATCTTACCCCAAAGCCAGCCAGGGCTTAGGATACGATCTCTAAATTCTAGTTCAACAATTCATGACCTAACAACTGGACCACCGCACCAGTCGCGAATGAGCCATAATAATAAATTGTTCACCTTGTAGACTTGTCAACATCACGACTCTGGGCAGCTCTCTTAGCCTTAGATGCCTCTGGTGCAGACCGCTTATCCTTAAATAGGGGGAGGTCCAGTATATCAGAATAGCTGTAGCTCTCGCAAGTACGTGGCTTTTGTCCAACAGTCATCTGTCATTGTCGAAAACAAAGAAGGAAAATTGTGAATAGGCCACGTTCGATATATCAATATTCTAACATGGTTCCGAGGCTTTCGGGTCAAAATTGTAGATTTTTTAAGTTTCTTTTGTCCCTCAATTCCCAAAAGAGACTTGGATACAAAGACAGCATCAAATATAGAAGTCAGTCCTGAAAGCTTTGGAGCCATGCTAGAATATTGATACATCGAATGTGGCCTATTGGGCTGGAGACAAAACAACAGGTGTTGCACATATACTGAAAGCCATGCTTCTCTTTAACACTTTGATTATGTGCGCGGGATTTCTATCACGCCTAGAAATCAGGAGCGAGCAACTTACTTGTTTTAGATAAAACTGCCAGTCATTCAAAGCTTTATCTAATCCTCTTCACAGAAACTTCGAAAACGAAAAGAAGCGGCCGCCATTTCGTTAACAACCGCACACTGCTTAAGGTCACTCACTATCTACAATAGAATAGATGGCGAGTGGCTTATAAATGGAAGTACCCCCGGGGGGAGGGGTACTTCCATATATAAGCCATATAGTTATGTACGATGCGATGCGATAAGATACGATACCATAACGTTATTTCTACAAGGTATTTCCCGTCATTATTCCATTTATATGCTGCTGTGAAGGGCGTGGTTTTCGGGTAGTTTAGTCCGGTATAGGGTAGAGATATCAGACAGTTTTGGTCTAGAATAGGGTACAATTTACCCGGGAAGTGGCAAGTGTATAAATAATTTACCTGGAGTTCTATGATGGAAATTGAAACTCGGAAGTGATTACATAAGATATTTCTTTGGTTAACGTATGCTGGATTACGATAGTGATAAAGTTGCAGCATGGAAAATAGCAAGTCTGGGATAGGGTAGGGTTTTTGGTGCCAATTCCAGAATGGGGTTGCGAAATCAAACTGATAGTGGTCTAGTATAGGATAAAAGTTTCAGTGTCCTACACAAAGACTAACAGGGTCCACACACCCCGAGATTGTGACCTCTCGCATGGGTGACTGTATTGGTATTAAAAAGAGAAATTGCATTTTAATCTCTGACCTCCTCCACTACAGCAGGTGATATTTCGTACTTCCTCTCACTATCCACAATAACTTTCTTAGCATCTCCAATCTCCTCTGCCAGTGATCGCCGTCTCTTTCCAGCAGATTGATCCTTAATTGTGCGACGTCTGTCCTTTGACTTTTCCACACTCTTTTGGTGATCAGCGCCTGGCAATATTACCGAACAAGCGGTTTCAAGCTCTTGGATAAAAGACCGTTGTTTCTCGCCAGTTGATGAGCCAGGAGTGGATGACGATTGTTTGATCACTCGCCGCCTTTCAGAGGCCTTCTTCTCGAACTGTTTGGTCTTAGAATGCCCATCGATAACTGATTTGGCGATAGCGATGCTGTCAGCAAACGAGGTTCTTCTTTGGGAAGTTTGCTGTTTGATAATCTTCCTCCTTTCCACATTTCGAGGGTCCCTCTTCTTGTCGTCAGAAATAACGTCATCCTTTGTCTTTTCCTTGCCCTTGTAGTGTGCGCTTGTGGTTTGATAAGCTTGCACCCCTCCACGGGAGTAGGCCTGCCTGTCACTCACAGGTACATTGCGGCTATTTCCTGCCATAAAAAAAGTTGATGATTGATTGAATCTTCACCACTGTTTCAACGAATGAAATGAATTAACCAAAATTACCAAAAAACAAAAAAACAAAAAACAACAAAAAAAACAAAACAGGATTGGCCGTGCTTTGTTCTGTGCATCTCTTTTGTTCTGTTTATAAAACACGCGAGGAAGTAACAAGAGCACAAAGGAAGAATAGGGTGAAATATCAGCCTTCGACTGCTTTCACTCCGACTCCTTCAGCACATTACAGGGTAAATTTCAGGTACATTAAGATACTGAACGTCAACCGCCATGTAAATTAAGTATATTGACCAAAAAGGCCAAAAGGTACGCATATTGTAACCTAACCTATTGATTTGAAAATGTTTTTGCACCTGGATTCACTGACGTAGGTTCCGGCCGATAAGTTGAGTAGTAAAGCTGAGGTTGACTTGCTGGAGGTTGGTTTCTATCCACTCTGATACTCTGGAGGTCATGGCCATCACCCTGCCCAGATTCCACGTCTCTGTTGTTCACTCGCTGGGATAACTGTTGATAATACTCTCTCAGTGGCCTGAGCAAAAACATAACAATGCATTAATTGAGTCTGTTGAAGTCATTTGTATAGGTAATAATACGGTTTCGAGTTCAATTTTGAACTGATTTGCACGAGTAAACTTTTGAAAAACTCACAAGTGCACATTAACTCCAAAGTGAACGTAAAAAATCGTAGTATTACTTATTAATAATATAAACATGAAGAACTTCGCGTGGAGGAAGTGCCAGAAGATCTTTCTTGAAGCCATTTTTCCTCATTCGAGAAAACGTTTTTCAAAGGTTCCGCACAAAAGTTTCTTCATTACTTTACGCGATATCATTGGCTTAGAAAATTTCCTATTGTCCTTCAGTCAATCATAATCCAGAATTACGATGTGTAATTTGCACTGGTGTTGCACTTGAACTGCACTGCTCTCAGCCAATCAGAATCGCGTAATTTTTTCATGTATTATTAACTCTGCAATAATATGTGTGTAAGCTGACTACATGAGTGGCAGCGCTTCCCAGGGAATCATTTTGCTTGGGGTCAAGATTTTTCGGTCACCGAGAATAGTGATGCCTGTGAATCCTAACTAATGTTGGATGAATTTTAGCAAAATAAATTTAAATAATGAAGGGTCCGGATATGTGTAGCTCGTGGTGGTGGTAGCTACATGTTTATAACATCCAAGCAAGAGTATAGAAATAACATAAGAAAGCACATAATTTTAACTTACCAAGCAAACGTGAAACAGGCAGCCATCAATAATACCACCAACAGTCCTCCAACGACGAATAACGTAATTAGAACCCTAGCAACAGCTCCTTCACTTTCCTTTTCTGAATTTTTCCTTTTTCCTTTCTTGGTATGAACACCCTGATTACCAAGTGACTCCAATCTAATATTGAGATTTACATGACCATTTTTCCCATGAGATTTCTTTGGGATTTCCAGTGGCAAACCATTCGCTTTTTTTGTCTCGAATTCCTTGTCTTTGAAAAGAAGCTTTTTCATAACCACAGTATTGGGATATTTTGTGGGCAATTTCAATTTCTGTTTTTTAACTGTGTCCTGTTCAGGGGCTTCCACTGATGGGACAGATTCTGGGTTATCTTGCGAGGATAACTGAGATCGTTCCGGCAGCATTATTTTGGATTCCACTGCTCCTGGAACTCCAGCAGTATCTGACTCAATATCCGGTGATGAAAATACATTGTGCTTCAATTCAGGTTCACGAGTTTGAGGTGATCCAGCGTCCCACTCAATGGCAGACAATGGCACTTTATCTGCTTGTGATTCAGGGTCCGCATCTTCAGGAGCACCGGAACCCCATTTAGTGTCCGATGACAGATTATCTGTTTCTGATTGAAGCTCCATATCTTCAGGTGCACTGTTACTCACTAGGTCATCAATCTCTGGACCCTGTTCGTTTGCATTCATGGTTATCCCATGCATTGACTTTGGCAATCCACGTAAATGAGCATCTCTCACTTTAGAAGAATGATGGCTGGCATCCTTTAATTCCTTATGAAAAGAGGCCAATAGGCTTGGTCTTGATTTCAGCAGGTGTGCAACTTTCTTGGAAAGATGTTTTCCCAAATTGATGTGCTTGAGTTTCAGCAGTTTGTTCAATTCACTTGAAATGACCAACTCTTTGCTATCGACATTCTTTTTTTGGGTACCCCACTCAGTGTCCAATGATAGCTTATCTGTTTCTAATTGAGGCTCCATATCTTCAGGTTTGCCAGAATCCCAATCAGTGTTGGATCCTGACAGTTCGTCTTCCTCTGATTCAGGGTCCTCATCTTCAGGTTCACCAGAGACCCAGTCAGTGTCTGATCCTAACACTTCGTCTGTCTCTGATTCAGGCTCCATATCTTCTGGTTCACCATAGTCCCAGTCAGTGTCCGATCCTGACAGTTCGTCTGTCTCTGATTCAGGGTCCTCATCTTCAGGTTCACCAGAGTCCCAGTCAATGCCCGATCTTGACAGTCCGTCTGATTCAGGGCCCTTATCTCCAATTTTACCAGAGTCCCAATCATTGCCCAACGCTGACAGTTCATCTGTCTCTGATTTAGGGTCCTCATCTCCAGATTCACCAGAGTCCCAATCAGTGCCCAATCCTGACTGTTCTTTTGTCTCTGATTCAGGGTCTTCATCTTCAGGTTCACCAGAACCCCAGTCAGTGCCTGATCCTAACAGTTCGTCTGTCTCTGATTCAGGGTCCATATCTTCAGGTTCACCAGAGTCCCAATCAGTGTCTGATCCTGACAGTTCGTCTCTCTCTGATTCAGGTTCCTCTTCTCCAGGTTCACCAGAGTCCCAGTCAGTGTCCGATCCTGACATTTCATCTGTCTCTGATTCAGGGTCCTCATCTTCAGGTTCACCAGAGTCCCAATCAGTATCCGATGCTGAGAGTTTGTCTGTCTCTGATACAGGGTTCTCATCTTCAGGTTCATTAGAGTCCCAATTAGTTTCCGATCCTGACAGTTCTTCTGTCTCTGATTCAGGGTCCATATCTTCAGGTTCACTAGAGTCCCAATCAGTGTCTGATCCTGACAGCTCGTCTGTCTCTGATTCAGTGTCCTCTTCTGCGGTTTCACCAGAGTCCCAATCAGTGTCCGATCCTGACAGTTCATCTGTCTCTGATTCAGGCTCTATATCTTCAGGTTCACCAAAGTCCCAATGAGTGTTCGATCCTGACAGTTCGCCTGTCTCTGATTCAGGGTCCTCTTCCCCAGGTTCACCGGAGTCCCAATCAATGTCTGATCCTGACAGTTTGTCTGACTCTGATTCAGGGTCTTCATCTTCAGGTTTACCAGAGTCCCAATCAGTGTCTGATCCTGACGGTTCGTCTGTTTCTGATTCAGGGTCCTCTTTTCCATGTTCACTAGAGTCCCAGTGAGTGTCTGTTCCTGATAGTTCATCTGTCTCTGATTCAGGCTCCATATCTTCAGGTTCACCAGAGTCCCAATCAGTGTCTGATCCTGACAGTTCGTCTGTCTCTGATTCAGGTTCCTCATCTTTAGGTTCACCAGAGTCCCAGTCAGTGTCTGATCCTGACAGTTCGTCTGTCTCTGGTTCAGGGTCCTCATCTATAGGTTCACCAGAGTCCCAATTAGTGTCCGATCCTGACAGTTCTTCTGTCTCTGATTCAGGGTGTTCATCTCCAGGTTCACCAGAGTCCAAGTCATTGTCAGATTCTGAAACTTTATCTGTTTTTGTTTCAGGTTCTATACCTTTAAGGGCACTTGGATTCCCCTATAACAGTAAAAACTCACAATATAACAATAGTGGCAATATTTACGTAAAGAGCCCAGGTTCTATGATATGAAGGATAAAAAACAATGATTTTAACATTCCGATTTCTCCGCAATGATTCGTCTAATTTGTTTGAAACTTCAGAATATGTTTATTTCATACTTAGTAAACACATTGAACTCAAATGAAAAAAATGTCAAAATTTTGGTTCGTTTGAACTTTAAACGCTTTACAGGGAACCTGTAGATGCATAGACAGAATAGGACTAGGTTTAGATCGGAAAAATTACGTTTGCCCAAAAGTGACTAAGATGGGGTTTATAACTCACAGGCCACAAAATAGACTATAATGGGGCAGGGGTTCCGAGAGGTCAGTGGTACATACCAAGCAAAAAGTAACCTCGCTACCCCCAGGGGTGAATGCATGCATATAAATTTACTGATTAAGGTGACTTATGTTTAGGTTAATTCAGTATCAGGGGATGAATTTCAATGCATTTATGCTATTGGTTAAGATAACTTATGTTAAGGTTCATTAAGGTCAAACTCAATATCAGAGGGTGAATGGACATTTATGTCTTGATCAGGTACCTTATGGTGAGGTTCATGCCTCTCATGGGCCAGATTTGCTTCAGGGTTATCAGATCCAGAAGGTTTGCGAGCCACAGTGCCAGCATTTGTCAAGTCAGCAAAACTGTTAATCACTTGGTCATCCATCTCTGGACCCTGTTTGTTTGAATTCATGGTTGTCCCATGCACTGACTTTGGAAATCCATGTAACTGAGCATCTCTCACTTTAGAAGAATGATAGCTGGCATCCTTTAGTTCCTTATTAAAAGAAGCCAGTAGCCTTGGTCTTGATTTCAGGAGATGTGCAACTTTCTTGGAAAGATGTTTTCCCAAATGGATGTGCTTGAGCTTAAGCAGTTTGTTCAATTCACTTGAAATGGACAACTCTTTGCTGTTGACAATCCCTTTTTGGGTCGCCCAAGATGGGGTATTAGAAGGTTGTTTTCCACTGGCATGTGAGCCAGTTCCAGTAAAATCATCTCTGGTCCCCTCAGGCCTGTGTTTAGCAGAGTCTGAAGCAAACCCAGGAGAAATATTTGTCACTTCGGGATTTCTTGATGGTATAGATTTCCCTAGGGAAACAAAATATAAGTAAGTATTTGTAATAACAGTGAGAGTATCAAAGTAATTGAACCAAACTAATCCCTTCCTTTATCAACATCAGAACCAGCAATGCATATTAATAAATATTTCTAGTCCATTCCTTGGAAGTTATAACTCACATGAAATGAACAAACCTTTGTGGTTGGCAATCCGTTTTTGAATACYCCAAGAATACCCTGGTTTGTCATTGGCATATGAGCCAGTTCCAGTAAAATCATCTGTGGTCCCCTCAGGCCTGTGTTTAACAGAGTCTGAAGCAAACCCAGGAGAAATATTTGCCACCTCGGGATTTCTTGATGGTATAGATTTCCCTAGGGAAACAAAATATAGGTAGGTACATGTATTTGTGTTAACAGTAAGAGCATCAAAGTAATTGAACCAAACTAATCCCTTCCTTCATCAACATCACAAGCAGCAATGCATATTAATCAATATTTTTTTTATCCCGTGCATTCTTTGAAAGTCATAACTCACACAAAATGAACAAACCTTTGCGGTTGGCAATCCAATTAAGAGTACCCCAAGATGGGGTATTAGAAGACGGTTTGTCATTGGTATATGAGCCAGTTCCAGTAAAATCATCTGTGGTCCCCTCAGTTCTGTGCTTGACAGAGTCTGAAGCAAACTCAGAAGAAATATATGCCACCTCAGGATTTCTTGATGGTATAGATTTCCCTAGGGAAACAAAATACATTATAAGTAGTTATTTGTGTTAACAGTAAGAATATCAAAGTAATCGAACCAAACTAATCCCTTCCTTTATCAACATCACAACCAGTAATACACACATGTATAATTAATCAATATTTTTAGTATCCAATCCATTCCTTGGAAGTTATAACTAACATGAAATGAACAAACCTTTGCGGTTGGCAATCCCATTTAGGGTACCCCAAGATGGGGTATTAGAAGATGGTTTGTCATTGGCATATGAGCCAGTTCCAGCAAAATCATCTGTAGTCCCCGCAGCTCTGTGCTTGACAGAGTCTGAAGGAAACCCAGGAGAAATATTTGCCACCTTGGGATTTCTTGATGGTAGAGAATTCCCTATGGAAAAGAAGATAAGTAGGTAATCTTGTTAACAGTAAGAATTTTAAAGTAATTTTAAAATAAAACTACAAGAAATCTTTTCCTTCACCAGCTTCATAGCCAGCAATGCGTATTACTCAATATTTTTAGTATTCAGTCCACTCCTTGGAAGAACATTCAGATCTGTGTAAACTTATAACTCAGGTGAAATGAGCAAACCCTCACGGTTAGCAATCTCATTTAAGGTACCCCAAGATGGGGTATTAGAACATGGTATGTTATTGGCATATAAGCCAGTTCCAGTTAACGGTAAGAGTATCAAAGAAATTGAAATTGAATCAAACTAATCCTTCATTTCAACATCGCAGCCAGCAATGCATATGAATCAATATTTTTAGCACCCAGTTCATTCCTTGAAAATACATTCAGTGTTTGTAACTTGTATTCTTTGATTTATGGATGAACTTTAGGAGGGACTGAAAGGGAGAACACTCACAGGGTTGCTGGCATCAACCTTGCTCCTTAATTCTTTCCGTAACTAAAATTGCCCAACTGTGTCAAATGTGAATCATGCTCTTATCACGGGACTAATCCCAACAAACTTTAGCTCATTCCTGAGGAATAGTTCTGACTTAGGCTGCATTTCTTTGGAGTGATCTGGATCAGGATCAGTGATTCAAGATCCCTCAGTTCAATTGGTACATCAAAGGAACCAATGAATATACCCTGATCACAGATTCATCAGTTCCTTTGATGAACTATGATGTGAGTGATCTTGTAATTGTAATCTTGTAATCCAAATGTAATCAAAGGATTCACCCTTGTACTGCAACTGCTCTTAACTCGGTGAGAACAATAATTTTCAACTTTGGGACAAGAACAACATTTAAGAACATTATATATTTCAAAAACCATTCATTCACTTTTGATTCAGGAATAAATAAGTAATAATGGTTTAATGAAAGCATGTTGGTCATCATTAAGATGAAACAATTCAGCTATTTTAAAGATGATTTCTAGTCTGTACTGCGCACTCTCAAGAGTTTGTTTTCGTTTTTTGTTTTGTGTCATGTAAGACAACAAAATGTGAACATTTTGCAACTGCTTAGATGAAGTAAATTCAAAGTTTCATGTCAACCGCCATTATCGATGCAAAGCTTTATGCTTCGTTCTTTCTCGTATCACTTTATGAATCAACTTTGCAGCTGTATGATAAGGTATGTGGTTTGTAACAAATAACATCGATTCGCATTCCATCAAGTGAGAACTTATAATGTTTATAGACATTATGGTGCTGAGACTGTGCAGTATGGACTGGAAATCATCTTTAAATCACACTATAAAGACTTTTTCCTAGGCCTAGTTTTCAAGGAGGTTCATGGGGTAATCCTAGTGCTCTGAGCTATACATACCAACAAATTTATGCACACCCAAAAGGTTACCCTACTGTGGCTGGACAAACATCCAGACCAGTCGCATGTTACCTAACCTAGACATCAATAAATTTAGTGTCCAAAACAATTTTTGTTTTAATTAACTTATCAGTTCTAATAAAATCATATTTCAATTTCCATAAGTGCAGTCAGATACCAGACTGAAGATTGGAATCAAATCTAGAATCAAGTCATTGTGACCAAAGCCTAAAAGCCATGGTAGAATATTGATATATAGAGCCTGGCCGGCCTGTTAAGTTTAAATTCCAATGCCCTTAAATTTTATTTTAAAATCGGAGCAACTTCACAATAAATGGGTAAAAACAACTTGAAAAAGCTTAGCTTAGTTAAAATTTTCGAATGACCAAGGATTGAACTGTTAAGATAAATTTCACAAATCTAAAACAAATGCAGTTAAAAAAAAAAAATTGTACCGAGGCTTGAGTCAGCGCGTTCGAGCTTCAGTTTCGTTTCAATAGATCGTTTTCATGGTCACGCAATAAAAAAAATAAATCGAAAACCATCCAGTGGAAAAAGCTAAGAAATTGTGATGGTATAAAAGATAACTAAATAACACACTTCTCCAAGTTTTAGGCCTGTTTTAGGCCCCAAACTTCAGATATTCGTCGAAATGTTTCGCAAAAATTTACAGAGCCCTGTATGGAAACGCCATGTTGCTGTACATCCGCGGAAAACAGTGTAAACATCTGGAACTTTATTTGGCTATCTAGGCGACTGACTATCAGTATTGAACAAAAAAGCATTCACATAAGCATTTTTCCTAATGCGCTAACTTCTAAAAAGGCTCAAAATCATGAGATAAGCATATATTTCAACAAACTCGATCGTGGCCTTGTGTCACGAACTCCATAACACTGAAATTCAAAATGCTCTGGTTTCCAAACGAAGCACGCTATTCAGCTGTGCAATTGTAAACAGATATAAATACACCGCCTCTTATACCTGATGAGGATAAAAACTTTGGTGGCTTTTTAGTTTTGGACTTTAGAAAGTGTTGACGTCACGTGAAAACGATCTATAACGTCCAGAAGAAGGCAAAACGAAAAGCCGGCGTCACTTCACACGAAAAAATCGAGAGCACTCGAGAAACGACCGCTGTAAGTTATCCGAATACAGTGTAATTAATTCAACTTCCTGTCAGTGACTCGGTGAAAGGTAACATACCTGGTGCTAACATTGTGGATTAGTGCACCTGTAGTCCCAGTTCCACAGCTCAACATTTTGCTTTGTGAAAGAACAATTTGGAAGAAAACCGCCATCTTGCCCGTGAGCGCCAAATGCGAAAGAGCCTGGGCAGCGCACATTTTGGCGGGAAACTAAACCGGAAACAAGTCGATCGCAATGTCATCGGAATGTCAACGGCAATCGCTCCAGACACCTGCCAGATATTAATTGGTTATACCTTTGGCTACAATTGATAGCGGTGTCTTCAAATC